GTGTCAGATGAGTGTGACTCTCCTGATCAGTTGCTCCTTTTGCTCCCTGCAACTTGACTCCACCTCTCCAGGACAAACTGCTGAGATCCTGGGTGGCAGCAGCAGCTCCTGGCAGCTGTTTCTCAAGCAATGCTTGTCTCTTTTTTTTTTGTGCTGGTGAGCTAGGAAGTTTATGGAAGTAAATGAAGTAAAATTTTGGATTTTGTCAGGAGGGTGACTCTCCTGATCAGTTGCTCCTTTTGCTCCCTGCAACTTGACTCCACCTCTCCAGGACAAACTGCTGAGATCCTGGGTGGCAGCAGCAGCTCCTGGCAGCTGTTTCTCAAGCAATGCTTGTCTCTTTTTTTTTTGTGCTGGTGAGCTAGGAAGTTTATGGAAGTAAATGAAGTAAAATTTTGGATTTTGTCAGGAGGGTTGAGACCTTCTCTGAGGAGGAAAACAAAATATGTCTGTACTGCTGCTCAGCTGCAGGGTCTGTCCCTGGATCAAAGGTTTGATAGATGGGTTTGGGGTGAAGAGCTAGGTGAAGGAGACAGAAACACTTTTCTGCTTACAGAAGACTTCAGAAAGGTGCTGGGAAGGAGCAGGGACTGTCTGTTGTGGATCCATATGTTTTGTTTGGGATTGCTCAGTGGCAACATCTGCCTGGCCGTGCAAGGGCCACAGCTGTGCTCCTGAGTGTTTGGTGATTCTGCTGAGCTGGAGTAACTGCAGCAGCTCTTTGGGCTGTGGCAGAGGGGTTTGTGTAGCTGCAGAACAGAAGGCAAAGCTACCTGGAAACAAGGAAATGGTTTTCCTGGAGCCTGGCACGGGATTAGTGCTGGAAGCAAACTGAAAGGGAGGTGAGAGGCCCTGCAGGAGGGCTCAGCATTCCAGGCTCTTGTTTTCTCTCTCAGTATCTCTGCAGTGCAGTGGCTCTGCAATGCTGACAAGAAATCCCACAGCCCTCCAAAGCGCCTCTATAAGTTCTTCTCAACTCTTTATGCTGCCCTGGTAAGTGCCACGTTCCCCCAGCCAGGCCTCTGCTTGCTCTTACACCCTCACTGGTGCCCTTCAGAAGGGGTTTGAAGCCAAGCATTTTTATTAAATGCTTCTGTGAAGCAGAGGGCTGGCAGGAGAATCCACTGCCTGTCCCCTTGCCTGCCCGTGGGGTGTCTGGTGCTCCCTGCTGTCACCCCCTTGCTCTGCTGTTGAGGAGCTGGCTCTGCAGCCTGAGCAGGTCCCCTGGGAGAGTCCTTTGGGAGCTTTTGGGGAGGTAGATGCTCATGTCTGGGCTTGGGACTGGGTGACTGGTGGGGTTTTTGTGACCAACTTTTATCTCCTGCAGGCCCGAGGATCCAGAGCTGTCCTGCAGCTGTACCCTGAGAACTCAGAACAGGTACAGGACACCAGGCAGCAGGGAGGAGATACAGGCAAAGGAGTCCTGTGCTGCTTGGGGTTCTGAGTGCATCATATTGCACAGAATCACAGAATGTTGGGGTTGGAAGGGACCTCTGAAGATCATCGAGTCCAACCCCCTGCCAGAGCAGGACCAAATTTAGGGCAGGTCACTCAGAAAGGCATCCAGACAGGTCTGGAAAGTCTCCAGAGAAGGAGCCTCC